AATTCTTAAATTGATGACAAAAATACCTGTAGGATTTGCAGCTGGTTGGAAAAATACAGGTAACTTTATGCTTCGAGTAGGTACTTTAGTCACCCACGTACGATTTGCGGACACAACTAGCACTAACCACTGCACCATGAGACTGGTGACTGACTGGCTCACTCAACTCCTGCATGAATCGCTCGCCTCCCCCGAGTTGTGTATCCCGCAGCCCACTTGCGCCGCGTCTCCCGTCGCCTGACTGACTGACGCCCCCCACTTCTTCTAACGCCACTTCTTCAAAATAGATTCGCCCAGGTTGAAAACTGACTTCTGCGCATGGGCCACGAAGTTTCAATCGCACTGTACGTGCATGCCCGCAGGTCATATTTTGTGGAAGAGCCACACTCAAGTGGCCAAAGAGCCGCATGTGGCTCGCGAGCCGCGGTTTGCTGACCACTGGTCTATACCATCTTGAAGAGATGGATCTCTATTTTATTTAAAGACATCTGGAATGGTGACACAGGCTTCTTGGATAGTCAATGTCAGAATTTAACCCACTTTTATGTCTTTCTGATAGCCAATCAAACTTGTCCAATTTGAGTTATAAATACAACTAATGAAATCTTAAATTCATTCTTTAGTATCTTTATCTTGCCATATTCAAAACATTTGCATATGCATCTTTTGTCTGATCACCTCAACAATCTTGAGAAGTAGACAGAGAATTTCTAGTTCTCATTTTACACAGTAGCAAGAGGGTAAGTGACTTAACAACCATAACAAACAATAAAAAAAGGTAGAGCCAGCAATAAAATACATTGTTTTTAAAAACAATTGGTTGTTTTTTTCTGTCTTTTCTTTTCTGTTTTCCCATGCAATGTTTCAATCATTAAACAAATCATAAAAATTCTTAATTCTATAAGTAGGTATTGAGGAGAGTACTGGGAGAGAATGAAAAGAGGAATAAGACATGTTTTCTCTCCTTTAGGAACTTACATTAGCTGGCATAGTACTTCCTGAAATTCAAACAGCATGGCTTCATGAAGGCATCCATGTCTTTCTAGTCCTTAAATCGACAGTCTATGAGGATCTCATCATTTTGAATTATGGTTTAATGTTCATTTATTGTTAGGATTATGGTTAAAGTGCAATTAATCTCTGATAAAGCCATATCTACACTGATTCACTAAATCAAAAATTTGAGGGTACATTTCACTTTTATTACTTCTTTAATAACTAACTTCTGGTTAATCAAAAAAGTACTACAATAAATCCATGTGAATCATGATATTGAATTGACTTTTTCTTTATAATATTTTGAGTCATGGCATGATGTTGATATTCATACCTCCTCCAATGTTTTAATGTTTATAGTACTACTTTGATTAATAAAGTATTTTGAAAAATACTTAAGATATAGCTATTACAAATAAGCAATTTTCTCAGAGTTTGCACATTGCTTTATCTTTCTGACCTCCAATGATTAAGCACTTTCTTTTCCCTTTTTAAAATTATTTTCAAAATATTTACTGAAACATTCCTTAAAGATTTTGTCTTTTAATGAAACTCATAAAAATCCATTATGTCCACAGATACAAGCTTATTTTTAGTTTAAGAGCTTACCTTTTCAAGGGCAAGCCGCTGAATCACTGATGTTTCATAATATGAAATCTCCTAAATGGCAGATGATTTAGCTCCAGTATATCTTCAAAGATAGAAATCACAGATAAATTTGGTTTAAAATTTCTGAGAATAGTTTTGAGGATTGAATTATATTTTGTCATTAAAGAATCTGAAAAATACCAAATTGACTAGGTCAGATTTAATGGGTTTTGATCATAATGTTTCTTAATAGCTAATATACAGAAACTTAACTCATCTTCAAATGGCCTTGCTCAAATGTGGGAAACTGCTTTAGGCCTTTCAAAATCTATAAGACAGCTGATTATACTTGAATTAAGTAAAATAATCAACAAGGGTCGCAAGAAATCCTGTTCAATCTGAGTTTGAAAACCTTTAACATGGAGCTCTTAAAAGCAGACTGTAGCTTGGAAAGAATTACTTGCTCCATGAATGCTGCTGCTTGAATCAAGTCAGGAGCAATTCAGTCATTGCTTGGCCAGCAAGTCTCTGACACTGCATTGATACATAGAAAGTTTTAAATGGCCTGCCATGATTTTCATAACTTGGACAAAGCCCTTCTGCCCATGCCCAGCCAGTCCTACCTATCTACAAATGTCTAGGCTTCCTCATATGGACCACACAGCACATGCAAGGCAATCTAAATTAGTTAGGCATGGAATGATTTGTCTGGTGTTTTCAGCCATCTTTATAATTAACTAGAAGCCCAGTGCATGAAATTTGTGCATGGTAGGGTCTATAGCAGCGTCCAGCCGGGGACACCTCCCATTCCCCCCCTTGTCTGCTGGCCCCACCTCCTAGTCCAACTCCCAGTCAAACTCCCAGTGGAGGGGACAATTTGCATATTAGGCTTTTATTATATAGACTAGAAGCCTGTTGCACGAAGATTCGCGCAATAGGCCTTCCTTCCCCTGGCTGCTGGCACCGGTTTTCCTCTGGCACCCAGGACCCAGGCCTTTGGTCCAGCCACAGCAGAGAAGCCAAGCCTCGAGGCTTGGTTTCTCCGCTGCAGCCACTTCAGTCTTCAGTCTTCACTGTGGCCGGAGCCTTCAGTCTTCGCTCTGCACCTGTGTATGCAAATTAACCACCATCTTTGTTGGGTTAATTTGCATACTCACTCTGATTGGTTGGTGGATGTAGCGGAGTGTCACCAATTTGCATGTTTCTCTTTTATTAGTGTAGATTGGGTAGCATTTAAATCAATAATTCAATGATCCAATTTGGTTTTGTGACCAGGCTTTCCTGATGATTTTCTAGTTGTTTTGATTTCTAGGACCCAGTCACAGAAATAGTGAAGCTTTTATTAGTTTCTGTAAATATTCATATAACAGAGCTTTTTGAAAATAATTCATACAGACATCACTGTGTCAGTAATAAGAGTGTGGAGCCTTTAACTCAACAATTAAGTGATTCTTTCCATTTATATGTATTACTAATACATTGACTATGCCATTCCCATTTAAGATCATTATATCTATATACAATTTTGTATCTATCATCTATCTACCATCTTCCTATCTATCTACATATCTAAAGAGGGAGAGAGAGAAAGGCATATAAAGATATCAAACATGAGGCCAAACATTTTAATAGAGTTTGAGAAAATTTTTCTTGTAAATAAAAGCGTTTCCATGAGAAGTTATGTTATTCTGATATAAATATATATACAGCTATTGCTCGCATGTACACATGTTCATTCTCTGTCCTTGTACTCCGTTTCCTGCACTTTCCTTTTTCCACGGAGGAGCAGGGCTCTCTACCTGGTGCATTCTGGGGTCCCAGGTCGAGCCTTGCAGCGCTGGAGAGGAGTCCACTGCCCAACTGCTGCCCCCAGAGAGGCCCATTCAGCCATCACCTGCTCCACAGGATGCAGCTTGTATCTGCAAAGTGGTATGATAAAAGGGACTATGTCTTCATTGAATTTTGTGTTGAAGACAGTAAAAATCTTAATGTAATTTTTGAAAAATCCAAACTTACAACCAGTTGTCTTGAAGGAAGTGATAATTTTAAACAACCAATGAACTTATATACTTATTTGCCTAACTCATGTCCAAACAATAGGGTGGTGAGGGCCTTGGCAGAAGGGGGCGGGGAGAAGATGGGAGTGGGCTGGAAGAGGTTAATGGGGGGAAAGGAGAACCTATGTAATACTTTCAACAATAAAGATTAATAAATAGATAAATAAAAATACCCCCCCCCAAATTTTTTTAAACATATAAATGAAATTGATCTTTTAACTGCCTTGATCCAAATAATTCCAAGCATAAAAGAATGAAAAGATTAGTTTTATTTTGTTTAGGAAAAAGAGAATCTTGCCAGTCATGGCCAAAGTTAACAAAAGAAAGCTCAAAGCTTAATTGGCTTAGTGTGGAATTCAGTAATTGGAGAGACTGGGAAGATTCAGATGAAAATATATTCAGTTTGATTGTTTCTCTGAGATGATGAACAACATGGGTGGTGATGAGGATGTAGATCTACCAAAGTAGATGGAGCAGATGATGATTCACAAGACAGTGATGATGAAAAAATGCCAGATCTGGAGTAAAGAATGTTGTCTTCACCAGATTTTGAGGAAGAAAAATAACTTCTCTGCAAAATTACGTAATAGAGAGAATTCCTGAGTTGATAGCTCTAAAGACAGATGCTGCATTTGCCTCCTTTAATGCATTTTTCAACCTGTTGTTTTATTAAGGTTTCATATGTAGCATTGTATGGGGCAATAAGTCAGCAAAGGCAATAGTCTTATGCATGAACATTTCCCAGACATTGATGCTGTTGAAATCCAAGGCAATTGATACAGCAATTGTGATAAATAAAAACTTCCCACTGTAGTCTCTTTTACTTATAACATAGGTACTAACATGACAGGACACTCTTGGATTATAGAAAGATAATTAAGTTTTAGATTTTAGAACATGAACACAAGCTGGCTGAAACAAGTTGGTTGACACCTTAAATTGGTAACTTATTGTTCCTCTGTTATATTCTTCAGGATTGTTTCATTAAAGTTTTTTTTTAATTTACTTCACATTATTGTAAATAAGTGATCACTTGTCAGTGTTTCAAATGTATCTAAGTGAATGCCCTAATTTAGATGGTTTTTGAAGCCTGTACATATGGTATTGTTTGACCCTTAAGCTTTTACTTCACTTAGCCTAGACTAGAGGATGAAGAAAGGCTGTTCATTGTTGCTTGAGTCTTTACATTTAGACCAAATTTGTATTTGCACTGTCAGTATGGCAAATGACATAAATGTTAATACATTATTGGATTTTTAATTTCTTTTTTATTTATTTTATTTTATTTCTTATTTATTTTATTTATTTCTTTTTATTTTATTGTATTTATTTATTTTTAATCTTTTTTGTTGAAAGTATTGCATAGGTCCCTCTTTTTTCCCCATTGACCTCTTCTAGCCTGCTCCAGCCCCCCACCCTAGGCCTTCACCACCCTATTGTTTGTGTCCATGGGTACTTCCTTTTTTGACCCAGCTTGTACCAGGGCTGAAAACCTCAATTTTTGTTCCTGACAGTAGGATTTTTTAAATGTCTACGTACTTTCTAATGAATTGTTGGAAGACTTTAAAAATAAATAAATACAAATATATTGATATATCTCAAATAATATATCTCCCAGTCCAACACCTTCTCTCCATCACCATTTTGCAGCCTAAAAAACTAAGACCTATCAGAATCAAATATTAAAATTTTATTAAAGTATTTATACATATATATAATTAGATAACTAGATAAAATTATTTTGAAATGCTTGACAATAATTAAGATTTAAAAAGGAATTTAGAGTGTAACAACCCCTAAAATATAGAGATCAGCGAGAAAACTATGAAATTATTATTATATAATTATAAAATTACTTCTGAATATATTTTTATTCCATGAGATTTTTTCATTTGACAAAAGGCTTAGTCACCTCTTCAAGCAGAGGATCTATTAAATCCCTGAAGATTAATATCTATCAGCCTTTAAACAATGCTTGTCATGCTTGTCATTTATGAAGCAAGTTCATATATAAATTAAGTTTTCCTAAACTGTAGCTATGAATTAGAGTGCCATGAAATATGCTAGTGCTAACACACTCTGGTGGGATGTTGCTATCAGTTCAATTGTTTTAATGATAAATTTCCTTTAGGAAATGGAAAGATCTTGTTGACAGACAAAAACAGGAACTAACAATGGACTATTTAGACTTGCAAATGATGGAACATGTAATTATTCCAAAATAACATTCCCCAGTTAGGATATGATCATTAAATCCATCATCTTTCAGTTCATATGCATGAAACATTTATCATGTCTTCCTCAGACAAGAGTCAGTCATCTAAATATAGATTTTTGGACCATCCATTTCAACATGACATTTCATCAAAAGCCTGGA